CTTGACATGATTGGAGAGTTATGTCAAAACTGATTTTTATCGGAGGGAAAAAAAAAAAAGTTATTTACACTAAATCCAGTGTAAAGTTCATAAAACAATGATTTAGACCAACACTAGGCCATTGTATCCTGGGGTGGATTTACATATCATGGGTACTTTTTATCTGCAACATAAGCACTCTAGTTCTTCACTGAATGCCAAGGTCTGTTCAGAAACTCGACCACCACACCAGAACTGTTCCACTTTAGCATAAAGCCTCCTCTTACTGCCCAGAAAGCAGTGTGACCATACAGCACTTCTCATATGTGCCTGTCAGCCCACGACGCTAGCATAAATGGCCTTTTAATCAAGCTCCTTTGTTGTCATACTGTCAGTGCAGCTGTGCCCGACTGAGGGAAGCCTAGGACTGGCCGGATAAATGGATCCTATAGCTACTGAACAAAACAGATACAGTGCTTTACCAGTAACATGGCCTGCTCCTGGAGCAGCTGCTGCTGTAGAATTTCCAAGTGCCGCTGCTCCTCTTCTAGCTGTCGCCTGATATACTCCTGTCACATAGAAATTACCCAGCAATAAATTTATTCAAAAGGAATGCATCAGAACCCCCTGGGTGGAACACCACACGCTACTTCCCCAGTTCAGCTTTAACGAGAAACGCACTTCAGGATGGATTAGTGCCTGTGGAACAATTTAGGAAGGCCTGCCTCCTGAGCATCGGATTTTGGCCCCTTCCGTTCTGAAATTTGGACTCCTGCAAAAGTTGCCGGCATGGGCCAGAGCTCATTTACATATTTTGGAAGTGGTTTCAAGAAGCAGCAAAATGCACTTGAAGGTTTTGGAAAGTTAAAACACAGCAAGTCTGACTCAACACAGCCAACACAAAGTCACATGCAAGTTGTATTAAACATTAGTTTGTTGCACTGGTGCGATGAACTGTTAGCAACAGCTAGAGCCAGGCTTAGTGTAGGCAGGCCTGGAGCAAGCTCCCCCAGAGGGGCTCTGCCAAGTGCAGTTGGGACCTGCCCTGCCATCTCCCCTGCCGCCCTCACCAAAAGCTTCTCCTGAGCAGACGCTGCCAGCCTTGCTGAATTATGCGATGGTTATGACACAAACAAACATCCACCAGGAAACGGGTATTAGACCAAACTCGCTTGCTCTTGCCATCTAGCCATCTCTTCTCCTGCAGCCTCAATAGGTCGAGAGGTTTACCCGCTGCTTCGCCTGACCCCCTGGAAGAACTCAAACTCCGAAGCACCAAACCCAAGCTGGTAACATCCTATCATGCAATTAATGGAAGTATGTAACATGTGCATGCGCACACACACAAGCACACGCACACGTTTACAGTGTATGCATAAAGAAATTAATGGATCAGTGATAAGGTGATGGGAGCTATAGAAAGTCTTGTGACAGACTGATGAGATACACTATACTGTTGTTACGCACATTGGCTGAGCCATAGTTTGGGTTAACAAAAATTCTAAGAGGGGGCATGTCTTTTCTTCTAAAAAAAAAAAAAAAAAAAAAAAAA